GGAGTACAAGCAAGGGAAGACAAATGTCGTTGCCGATGCCCTAAGCAGGAAAGCCGCACTAGCAGCTGTTGTACAACCCCAGAGTTCTCTCATGCAGAAGATACGAGAGGGCTTGTTGCATGATCCCCAAGCCAAAAGTCTGTTGGAGCTTGTCAAAGATGAGAAGACAAGAAGATTTTGGCTCGATAATGGTGTTCTTTATGCAACAGGGAAGAGTATTTATGTTCTAAGGTGAGACAATCTGAGGCGAGAGCTACTGAAGGAGTGTCATGACTCGAAGTGGGCGGGACATCTAGGCACTCATCAGACGTTAGCCTTGATGAGTGAAGCTTACTATTGGCCACAGATGCGGGAGGATGTAGACTCATTCGTGCGGACTTGTCTTGTATGCCAACAAGACAAGACATTGCAGAAGCAGCCAGGTGGGTTGCTAGAGCCACTTCCTGTTCCAACCAGACCATGAGATAGTTTGTTCATGGACTTCATTGTGAGTCTACCCAAGTTAGAAGGGTGTGGCTCAATTTTGGTAGTGATCGATAGGTTCACCAAGTATGCTACCTTCATCCTCGCACCGGCGGATTGCAACACGGAGGAAGCTGCACGCTTGTTTCTGAAGCATGTGGTGAAGTATTGAGGGATCCCCAAGAGTATTATCAGTGACCGCGACACTCGCTTTACTAGTAAGCTTTGGACGGAGCTCTTCAGGCTACTTGGCTCACAATTGAACTTCTCTACCAGCTTTCACCCACAGACAGATGGTCAGACGGAACGGGTGAACACGCTGTTGGAGCTATACTTGAGGCACTATGTGAGTGCCAACCAGCGTACAGGATGACACCTCCTGAGTTGGAGGAATTGAGGAAACAGTTGAAGCAGTTGTTGGACGCTGGGTACATCCAACCGTCCAAGGCCCCTTATGGTGCCCCAGTCTTGTTCCAGAAGAAGAGAGAAGGGACACTGAGGTTGTGCATCGACTACAGGGTGCTAAACAAGTGACCATAAAAAACAAGTATCCAATGGATTGCAGATTTGTTTGATCAGTTGGGAAGAGCTAGGTACTTCACCAAGTTTGACCTGCGCTTAGGATACTATCAAGTGAGGATCGCACCGGAAGACGAACCGAAGACCGCATGTGTAACGAGAAATGGGTCTTATGAGTTCCTTGTCATGCCGTTCGGCTTGACGAACGCCCTTGCTATCTTTTGCACTCTTATGAACAAGGTATTCCATCCTTTCTTGGACAAGTTTGTTGTGGTTTACATCGATGATATTGTGGTGTACAACAATTCCCTAGAGGAGCATATTGAGCACTTGTAAAAGGTCTTCCAAGTTCTGAGGGAGAACCAGCTATATGTGAAGAGGGAGAAATGCTCGTTTGTCTAAGAAGAGGTAGAGTTCCTTGGTCACAAGATAAGAGGAGGACAATTGCTCATGGAGGAGGGCAAGGTGCAAGCTATTCAAGAATGGGAACCACCAACCAAGGTACCCGAGTTGCGGTCTTTCCTTGGGTTGGTCAACTACTATCGCAGGTTCATCAAGGGATAGTCAGCCATTGCCGCCCCCTTGACAGATTTGCTGAAGAAGAACAAGGCTTGGGAGTGGACGCCCCGATGCCAGCATGCCTTCGATGAGTTGAAGAGGGCACTTATGGAGGAACCCGTGCTGAGACTTCTTGATCTTAGCAAACCTTTTGAGGTACACACTGATGCATCAAATTTTGCTATTGGTGGTGTACTCATGCAGGATGGACACCTATTGGCTTTTGAGAGTCGGAAGCTCAATGACACGGAGCAGAGGTACACCGTTCAAGAGAAGGAGATGACAGCCGTAGTGTACTGCTTGCGGACTTGGAGGCACTACTTGTTAGGTTCTCAGTTCGTGGTCAAGACTGACAATGTTGCCACAAGCTACTTTCAGTCCCAACAGAAGTTGTCACCCAAGCAGGCTAGGTGGCAAGACTTCTTGGCGGAGTTCGACTACAAGCTGGAGTACAAGCAAGGGAAGACAAATGTCGTTGCCGATGCCCTAAGCAGGAAAGCCGCACTAGCAGCTGTTGTACAACCCCAGAGTTCTCTCATGCAGAAGATACGAGAGGGCTTGTTGCATGATCCCCAAGCCAAAAGTCTGTTGGAGCTTGTCAAAGATGAGAAGACAAGAAGATTTTGGCTCGATAATGGTGTTCTTTATGCAACAGGGAAGAGTATTTATGTTCTAAGGTGAGACAATCTGAGGCGAGAGCTACTGAAGGAGTGTCATGACTCGAAGTGGGCGGGACATCTAGGCACTCATCAGACGTTAGCCTTGATGAGTGAAGCTTACTATTGGCCACAGATGCGGGAGGATGTAGACTCATTCGTGCGGACTTGTCTTGTATGCCAACAAGACAAGACATTGCAGAAGCAGCCAGGTGGGTTGCTAGAGCCACTTCCTGTTCCAACCAGACCATGAGATAGTTTGTTCATGGACTTCATTGTGAGTCTACCCAAGTTAGAAGGGTGTGGCTCAATTTTGGTAGTGATCGATAGGTTCACCAAGTATGCTACCTTCATCCTCGCACCGGCGGATTGCAACACGGAGGAAGCTGCACGCTTGTTTCTGAAGCATGTGGTGAAGTATTGAGGGATCCCCAAGAGTATTATCAGTGACCGCGACACTCGCTTTACTAGTAAGCTTTGGACGGAGCTCTTCAGGCTACTTGGCTCACAATTGAACTTCTCTACCAGCTTTCACCCACAGACAGATGGTCAGACGGAACGGGTGAACACGCTGTTGGAGCTATACTTGAGGCACTATGTGAGTGCCAACCAGGGAGATTGGGCAAAGTTGTTGGATATTGCTCAGTTCTCATACAACTTGCAGCAGTCGGAGTCAACAGGGTCAAGTCCTTTTGAGTTGGCAACGGGACAACAACCTAGGACACCGAACACAGTGGTGTTAGGCTACACGGGAAGTAGCCCAGCTGCATACAAGACGGCCAAGGAGTGACAGGTGACTAATGAGCTGGCTCGGGGTCAATTGGAGAAGGCAACTCGGAAGATGAAGAAATGGGCAGACAAGTACAGGCGAGATGTTGTCTTCCAACCAGGTGACTTGGTCTTTGTGAAGCTCAACCCCTCTCAACACAAGTCCACTAGAAAATTGCACAAGGCGTTGTTGAGGAGATATGAGGGCCCATTTCCTATCATCCGATCAGTGGGAAGAGCTGCTTACTGTGTGGAACTACCACCCCGATTGAAGATTCATTCGGTGTTCCATGTGAGCAATCTCAAGCCCTACCATGCCGACCCCGAGGAGCCAAGTCGTGGAGAGTATCAACGAGCTCCATCTTTTATGGTGACTTCATTTGACAAGGAGGTTGAGTGCATCATGGCCAAGCGAGAGGTGCGACGCAAGGGTCTGCCAGAGTCCGAAGGCAATTGGGAGAAAAAAGAGTCTTTGTGGAAGTACAAAGACATCATCGAAGCATTCGAATGAGAAGGATCTACAGCGGCGACGAAGACGTCACCAAATTAGGTGGGGGAGAATGTCATGGCCCGCATGTTCAAGGCCCAGCCTGTTGGATTGATCATGCTAGACCACTTAGCTTCATGTCCAGATTCGTTGTACAGTAGTAGGTAGACTACGGTTGGTGACAATAGTTGGTAGATGCCGGTAGGTGACATTGTATCTTAGCCACCTACTGTGGTGGTAGGTGGGATAGGGACAGTATATAAGGAGGATGACACATTGTGTATCCTCACCTCACAACTTGTAAAGCATTTGAGTAGCAATACAAGCATATATTCTCCCAAACTCTGTTAAGCATTCTTACTGTTCTTGCTCTTGCGATTGTTCTTTGCTTGGTTCGATCTTGTGTTGTAGGAAGGAGACTGACTTAGTTTGTTCGAGAGGCGATCAAGTCTAAGGCCGCACGGAAGAAAGACTCCAAAAAAGTCATCCCGTGACAATAGGCAGACCTAGTCCTTCAAAGCTAGGCAGTTAAAGCCTGCCTAATCTCCCCCGACTAGAACAAATTGTGATCCACTGTCGTCTTGTGTGGTGCAAAACCATCGTATAAGTGAGCATTGTCTCTTGCAAGACGACTTTTTTTTCACCGTCGTATGTTAACAATTCAGACAACGGTTCTAGTATAAAATTATCGTCTATGTGATTTTAAATTGACCGAAACATGTTATTTTCATAATCTAGGTGTACAAAATTCAGTTATTTTCTGTCATCTAGATGTACAAAATGTTGGAAAAGATGACGAAAAATCAAAGAGCCAATAAATAAATATGGTACTCCCAGGATCTGACTTCTCCCAGCCTTGTGTAAATAAAATTAGCAATTGAAGGGGCTAATACAAATCCTTGCAGTAAAGGATATCCTCCATTCTTGGCTTCCAAATGGAGTAATTGGATGCAGTCAATTTTAACATTGTTGCTGATGATGATGACGATGACTCCTCCATCTTAAATTACACAAGAATATAATTTTGAGCCGAAGCTCTGATACCACTAGTTGGGAAAGATGACGAAAAATCAAAGAGCCAATAAATAAATATGGCACTCCCAGGATCTGACTTCTCCCAGCCTTGTGTAAATAAAATGGACAAAATTAACACTCTATCTTCCACTAAGAAAAATAATGGGAATACAATAATAATCTCACCAAACACCAGTGGCTAAACTCTCTATTGGTTTTTTTTCTCAAGAGGATTTTCTCTCTCACACAAGTGAGGTTTTCTTATCTCTCAAAACTCTCTATGTTTTGGTGTTCTGAGGGATGCATTTAACTGAAAGCATGCAATTGCTTTTATAGGCAAACGTTCCTAACTAATTGGTGGCCATGCATGAAAGAGAGTTCTTCTCATTTTCTCTTCCATTTGTTTTCATCAAATTTTCCCGTCCTTTCTTTTATTTTATTTTAATATTTATTTCCTTCTTTTTCTCTCCTCCACTAACAAGAAACCCATCACAAAATTCAATAATTCACTTCAAACCAAATTGATTTTTATGAAAACAATTCTATTATTGAATTTGTGATGAATTATACCTAACAAATTCTTCCACATTTATTGTTCGTATTTGTCTTTGAGTTGATTTTTGCCTTGGAACATTCTCCTCCAGACTGTTTTGGTTTGACTTTTTTATTGATGTACACCTAAGAAGGAGAATGTTCCAAGGCAAAAATCGTTTGCGGATCATGGATTTCTCACCGCCATGGTTAAGGAAGTTACAAGGGATGTGTGCCATTGCTTTGTTTGCTTGTTTAGCACAAGGTTTGTAATTAATTATATTTCTTTTAGTTAATATTTCAGGACTATATTTGAATCAAAGGAAAAAAAAAAGACTACACTTGAGTGGATGATGTTGATTGATCATATTCCAGGTCCTGTAAATGCATCCAACCCCCCAGAATTGGAAGTCAAGTGGTCTGACTTCCCTAGTGATTTTGTGTTTGGAGTCTCCACTGCTGCTACACAGGTGCATAATAATTTCTGCTATGTTATTTAACTCCATATGTACTTTTATATATGGTTTTCATCTTTGTATATATATACATATATGGGTGTATTTATAACTATGTTGGGTGCAGATTGAAGGATCAGCAAAAGAAGCAGGAAGAGGACCAAGTGTTTGGGACTACTATGTTGAGAACTTCCCAGGTTCATAATCATATCTCAAATATAATGCAGAATTTCTTTTCTTTGGCAGAGTATCATGTTCATTCTCTTTTTGTCTCTGATATTTTCCTTTACATTCAGAAAGGATTGCAGATCACTCCAACATGTTTACGGCCCTCGATTCATACAAGCGATACAAGGTGCATTGCAAGAGGAGCCTGTGATAATTAAACTTCTCCCATCAAATTTCATTTGCTATGCCATGCATAGATGTGAATTTTTAATTTTTGACATACATTTGGCCAATAAACAATTGTAACTGTAGGAAGATGTGAAGGCTGTGAAGAACCTTGGAGTCGGGTCTTACAGATTTTCCATCTCTTGGACCAGGATTCTTCCTGGTAAGCATCTTATCTACTTGTTGTTTTTCTTTGTCAAAATGCTTTTGTGCTTGTGTCGTCGTTTAGCTATTTTGTAGTAGTGTTTTTATGTTGCTTATTTTGAAATACTATAATTTGATATCTAAATTATTCTCTTTGTGTAGCTAGAAACTATGGCTTTGTTTTTGTGCTTTTTCCACAAAGTCATATGCAAATTTGTTATTGGATGTGTTTCAGAGGGAACCTTGAGTGGTGGAGTAAACCAACAAGGTATTGATCACTACAACAACCTGATTGATGAACTGATCAAGAATGGTAAGAAGCTATGCTATTATTATTATTATTTACTATTTATTATCAATATCAATTCTAGCAGTCACAAAATGAGTGTTTATATAACCCAATTGCACCACTTTATCCCACATCGGCCAAAGCAAAATAGAAACAACAGTTCATAAACCCAGCCACATGGCACCTCGTTCGCCGAGCTATGTTGCGCTAGCTTATGACTCAAGCGAGAGCATTGAAATGGTAGAACAATGGTTCGACTCATCTGGCAGGGTTGGCAGTTGCAATCTGCTGGCTCGCCATTCCAAGTTGTGAGTTGTGTAATGTGGTCCATGCGAAGGCTTGGGCCACGTGTCTCTTAGAGCGGAGGGCACAGCGTGAGGCAGGTTTCACAGAGCAGCGAAAACCTCCCGCTCACGGCAGTGGAAGGATAACGAGTCGGTGCTACACCAACCCAATTTGCCTGATGTGTTGAGACCAGTTGAACCACCACTTCTGTTTTTTGGGTGAACCACCACTTCTTTTTTCCTTCCTTTCTTTTAATGACATTTCCATCTTATGTTTCTAATGCAGGCATCACACCATATGTCACTATATTGCACTTTGATGCACCACAAGCTTTGACAGACAAGTATGGAGGCCCCCTAAATCGCTCCTTTGTGTAAGCACACACCCCTTCTTTAATTATACTATTTTTTCGTGTCTCGTAGTTTGCGAAAAAAATATTTTACTCATATCTTCCATATATCACAATTTACAGGGATGATTTCAAGGATTATAGTGAACTTTGCTTTAAATTTTTTGGAGATAGAGTAAAAAATTGGATTACAATCAACGAGCCATTAATTACTGCAAAATTTGGGTATGATCTTGGGGTTGATCCACCAGCAAGGTGTTCTGTTCAAACAGCATATCCATGTAGTGTTGGTGGTAATTCAGCCACTGAGCCTTACATTGTTGCCCATAACATTCTCCTTGCGCATGCCGCTGCTGTTGAGCTCTACAGAGAGAAGTTTCAGGTGACAGAGGCACACTCTCAGTCCATGATTGAATTTGTTTAATGGAGTTTTGTCCTCTGCATATCTCAAATTTATGGGATCAATTTTGTCTTGGCTAATATTATTTTTTTTTATAGAGAAAACAAGGTGGACAAATTGGAATTAGTCTTGTGGGACAATATGTTGAGCCTTATTCAGATTCAGCAGAAGACAAAGCTGCAGCAAAAAGAATTTTGGATTTTGAACTTGGATGGTTAGTATATTCCATTTTGATCCTAAATTTACTTGCTTGGTACAAATTAGGGGCCCTCCCAATTTGGAGGCCCTAGGCGGCCGCCTTACCCGCCTGTGCTCAGGGCCTCCCCTTGCATATTACATATTACTTAGACCGTGTTTCTTATTTAGGTTTGTGGAACCATTAGTGTATGGAGCTTATCCAAGGAGTATGAGACAGTTAGTCAAGGACAGGCTACCCACCTTCACCGAGAAAGAGACGATGATGGTCAACCGGTCCGTCGATTTTATTGGTATCAACTATTATACCAGCAGATATGGCAAAAATGAGCCTGCAAGTTCAGGGAAACCAATTTCCTATAGCAACGATCAATTAGCTTCGTCGTGGACTAGAAGTAAACTTTAAATTATCTCACCACTACTGCTTGTTGTGTGAGGGGTTGTGTGTTAATAATAGGTGGTAAGTTTCAAGCCTAACATGGTTTTCTTACTCGTGTTGTGTTTGTTGCAGATGCGGATGGAATCCAAATTGGTCCTCTGGTAAGAAAAATTGGATAGTTCTGCAGTTTTGTAACAAAACTTGTTATGTTAATAAATTGGTCAGTTCTTTCCATCTTTCTATATATATAAATGTAGCAAAACTTAGAACTCATTTACGGTGCAGGCTTCAGGAAGCACGTTCCTCTACACTTATCCACAAGGTCTGCAGAAACTTCTAGAGTTCATTAAGAAAGAGTACAGAGACCCTAAAATCTACATTACTGAAAATGGAATAACCGAAGAGAGGGACGATAAACTAGGGCTTGATGAAGCACTTAAGGATCCACATAGAATTCAATACATTCTTCAGCATTTGTACCGGATCAAGATGGCAATCAAGTAAGTGACTAACTTATTTACTCTATTAAGTACTGATCAAGATCAACTTGTCAAGAGTTGAATGCAATGCATGTTTGCTTTTGAGAAGATTAACTCAAAAGCTTAAAGATCTTGGGCATCTCCATCCATTGTCAATTGGTTTTGAGTTGGATGCTCCATTTACTTGTCATTTCTGTTTTTGCTGCAGGAGCGGTGTGAATGTCCGAGGATATTTCCACTGGGCTCTATTTGACGACTTTGAATGGGGGAGTGGCTACACCACAAGATTCGGGGTTTATTTTATCGATCACAAAGACAATCTCAAGCGCATTCCTAAAGTGTCAGCTAAGTGGCTCCCTAAATTCCTAAAGGGTCAGGCTTGATGTATTGAAAATCTTAGACATAATAAAGCTCTAGATGGTTGATCATGCTTCCTTGCATAAAGAGTTACCTATATTATGTTGAGTGGGAGAGAGCTTGAAAAAAGACTGCCTTGAAGGTCAAGTGGGGACTTTGAGGTAAATGGGGTGCAGGAATTTTTGTGGTAACTAGTTACAGTAAGAAAGTAGTTTGTTCAGTCAATTCTAGTTTCTTTTCCTGATACAACACAATTCATATTTAGAGGTAGTAGATGAGATACACATCCCAATTACAAATCTAGTAAAAACTACCAAATTGAGGCACATTCCTTTGTTTATTTAGCCTCAGAAGTATGCTATAAATTGAAAATTACAATACTGAAATGGCAATGATTTGGAGTAGCAACAAAATTACAATTTACAACTCAATACTGATGTGATGCAGAGTCAAATCTTCGGTCTCCATCCGCTGTGGCCTGGACTTGAACTGCGTACTGTAAGTTCCAAAGGATGTCCTCAAAAGATGGACGGCTTGACTCTGGACAAATACATTTGTTTGTTATAGAGATCACGATCGATAAAGATTCTTGTGAGCAAGTAGCTAGAACAATTGGTTCAACTATTTTCTTCCGGCCGTCTAGGCTATTAAGAGATGCCTGTAAAAAATTGCAGAATTATGATCAATCAATATCCATCTATGGTCAGAAAGAGGGCATGATTGTTGATAGTAGCATATATTAATAAGATCTGCATTAGGCCAGAAATTAATTTACTTGCCATATCATTTTGCATGAAAGCCTCTCTTCTATCAGACTTGGAAGGTCCAACAAGAGCTTCAAGTAATATATATCCAAAGCTATAAGCATCATCCTCTAAACTTATCATTTGCCTAAACACAATAATTAGAGTCAACCTTGTGGTTAAATTTCAACAATCAAATAACTCACTACGGAAAACATGCAGCAAATACACAGCAAAATATGATGTAAATCTTACCATGATGAAAGGCCATCGTTTGCCTACAAACCAAGAACACAAATCAGAACTACACAATTGCAGGGCCAACCAATCATTTCTTTGTTATGACGAGACGTACCTTAGATTTATCAGTTTCTTCTGCAAGAATGGACAATCCATAGTCACTCAATTTTGCCATGCCATGCTCATTTAGCAAGATATTGTTCGTCTTCAATCGGTTGCAGAAGAAACCAGGAATAATTCCAGTATGTAAGAATTGCACAGCTTTGGCCACACTAATTAGAACTGCCAATCTCTCTGACCAGTCGAGAACCTTTCCAGGACTATACATTGTTGTAATAAAGAAGTTGTTCTCCAAAAAGAATAATATGATGAAAAAAAACTTTCAGGCCAAATCAATTGTGAAGCAAACTGTCTTTGAGCTTGACTTGAGTTTGAAAAGATTCCAAGTTTTTGTGGAATCTAGTACCCATTCATGCACATAAACTATTTTAACATGATGAAAATATGATAATTTTGTATCTTTAACCATATTAATAATGGCAAGAATCAGCATGCCAAGTGCAGTCCCATGGGCTGCTTTAGTTGAGAATTGAAACATATGCAAGCAAATATCAAGAAGTAATTATATTGGAAAACACATGCAAAAAGAGGTGCACATTTCAAATGCACCAAGAAAATATTTCATATTTAGTTTTATAAATTTACCAGAGAGATGAGCACGGAAGTTCCCATTTGGCACATATTCAGATACAAGATAGACCTTGTTTGGACTGTAATCATCTCGTACACTACCGTCAAGGCAGTGCCCTAAAAGGCATACCAAATGCGGGTGACGGAGCTTAGCAAGTAGATCCAACCTGAGTTTAACGTTTCGAATTGAGTACTTCTTTGACAATGGCAGGCACCTTATAGAAACTAGAGTCCCGTTGTATAGTCTTCCTTTGTAAAGCTGAATGTCAAAGGAAAGAAGCTTATAATGCAGATTGAAGTTTTAATTGTTTGTTGGTTTAGTTAAGCTGGCATCACAATCATTATTTAAAGTGATTGAAAGGGCTCAACTTAGACAGAGATGAAACTATACCTTCCCATATGAACCTTCACCCAAAAAGACAGAGTTGTCAAAGTTGTTGGTAGCTTCCATCAACTCTTCTAAAGCAAATGTCCTGCACACTGGGAGACCTTGTATACCTACATTTGCAGCTTGTGAAATATACCCTGAAGAACATAAAGGAACCAACTTGGCCAGCTTAAATGTTCATCCATTTTTAAATGAGGATCTGTCTACAGAAAATGAGAGAAAAAGAAAAAAGAAAAAAAGAAATCTACATTCTTGTTAGTGGTTGACCTACTTGCATTCGCTAGAATCTCAGAGGAGAGCCCTACTGCTGAGTTATCTTCCACTGATTTATGCAGTAAATGCTGCTCTGATATCCCCCGAGGGAAATATCTTCTACAGAAAATGATAGAGCTTAAAACCAAAAGCACTGTGAGCACAACTAATCCTAGAATCACACCCACCAAGATCCCTACATCTTTTCCTCCATATTGTTTTTCCTTTGGGCTCACTTCCTTGCAATATGATAGTTCATGCTGATGCTGCATACCAATGGATAAGCAATTCCCACCAAACTTAACAATTCTCTTTTCTGATTCAGTTCTCAAACAAAAAGGCAACTCACCTGTCAAACTATTATTTGATATATCAATGTAATCAAGTTTGCTTCCACAGATTAGGTGGCCTGGAAGTGAACCACTCAACAAATTTGAAGCCAAGTCCAAGTAACTCATATTGGGCAAAGAGAATAGTGCAGCAAGAGGTGTGCCGCTGATTGCATTGTGTGACATATCAAGGTGTTGAAGCCCACTTAGTGTGCAATATTTCTTAGGAATCTCACCAGAGAAGGAGTTGTTGCTGAGCAAAAGCATGACCAACCCTTTTGGCATTGAGGGTAGCTTAGAATTCAATTTGTTCCCACTCACATCCAGCACATGTAAGCTGCTTGAGCTACTAAGATCTGGTAATGAACCCTTCAACTGGTTGTTCCTCAAGCTTAGAGTTGTAATGTTGGAGAGTGAATCAAACCACTTGGGCATAGTTTCATTTAAAAAATTGTCATCAAATTTAAGAGTTTGAAGCTTCACCATTGCAGAAACCTTGGGTGGAATTGAGCCAAAGAGGTAGTTTGAACTCAAGTCCAGATATTGAAGGGAAGACAACCTATGAATTTTATCTGGAAGTTGACCCCAGATGCCCAAAGACACAAGACTGAGGACTTTCAAACTGTTTAGCCTTGCCAAAGTAGTCACAAAAGAATCCAAAGAGAAGGCCTCTGATAAAGTTTGGTTTGGAATTGAAAACCCATTAAAGTCACTAACTGTTGCTGGCTTATCACCCACGACTCTGAGCTCAGTGACAAGATTGTCCAAGCATGTCATGTGTACTTGTGAAAGTGAAGAAATAGAGCAAAAATCTATGGTGTGATCATTCCAAATTTCCAGTTGCCTTGGGTACTCTAAATGCTTCCTTAGCTGCAGAAGCACTTGGGTCTGAGATGACTGGAGTTGATGAGTACCCAGAAAAAAGAAACTACTTGCAAAACAGCATAGCAGAAATGATCTACAACACCCCATGAAAAATTCCCTTTTCTTAGCAATGCCCATGAAGAAATTGTCTGAAATCTGCACCAAAACAAAAGAAGAACCCAATGCTTAATAAGGCTAAAAATTATTAGTCGAACAGAGTTGAAACCGGGGATGGCTCATTGAAGATGAAACAGAAATACAGTTGTGGAGGTATAGAGAAGCTACAATAAATCAGGAAACAGAGGAAAAGACCAAAAAAAGCAAGCACCGACAAGCTAAAAGACAAAAGATTCTTCAAGCATTTGAGAAAGTTCCACGCAGCATATGAAGCAGGGCAGAGACAGAGAAAAGGCAGAAGCTTTGAAGTCCCAAGATGATCGCTCAACTTATTTCACTGCATTCAAGCAAAACAAGCAAAACCCACGAAGGAAAAACAAATATCTATTTGAGCAGCATGTGAAATGAATGCAATAATCATTGAAAAAAAAAATTGAATTATACCAGAAACTTGCTTTGCTGCTAATAAAGATTTTGTTGTATAAAGAAGTGAGAAAGTGGGGTACCTCAATTTATGGCATTAAAGTTTTCCCACATGGTGTTCTTTCTTGAAGATCAGGGCTCTCTGTCTGCAGCATTAATGGAGTAGGTTTTACTTCTTATACTCTACAAACCAGTCTTCTTGCCCTCTTTCAGCAGCAACTTGAAAACGTAGAAACATCTGTCCGTCACCTTGTTTTTGGCCCGTGAAAAGGTTGAGTTCTTAAGCCATAAGTTTTATAGCTGCATGTGTAATTTTACCTAGCTTTCTGCTCTCTCTTTCTTTTTCAGTAGGTTGATGACACTACGCAGATGTTTGTGTTCCAACTGCTCTTTTCTTTCTCCTTTTCTTCTTTTAATTGCATTATGACTGATCTTTGCAAGGGTAGATTGGTAAAAGGAATGCATGTCCTTGGAACCTGTGGCTGCAACAACTTACCATATAACTTTACAGGCTGTGTACCAAACGATATCTGCAGCAGTCCATTGAAAATACAAGGGCACAATAATACTAGACTAGTTGCCAGAAGTTTTCTTAGCTATATATTATGATTGGAAAATTATCATATGATGGGATTAGATATGAACAAAAAGCATCGTAAAATCACCTTTCATGTCAGTTGGTGCCTTTTAAAGTTTAAAATTCTTTTGATATTTGTTGTACTTAATATGACTAGGTGCTTCTCTGACTTAGCAGTTATGGATAAAGCAATTTGGGAAGAAATGAAATTATTCGGATTCCCGACTTTCCACGTTTATTAACACATAAGGAATGAATAAATATGAGTCTCATATTAAAATTCATAATCACATGACTTCAAAATTAGGAATCATATCAACGAGTGGGGGTCGTTGATCCGATTCCCATTCATGTTCTCCCAAAAATAACCTTACAATTTTAGAATTCCCATTCGTGTGCTAATTTAATGGGAATGACTTCTTCCCATACTAATTCATATTACTTCTCCCATTCCTAAATTCCATAATTCCTTACTTCGCTCATTCTTAGTAAGTAAACATGTCATAATATCACAACCAAGGGATAAGATATTGACAAGTAGAAGCTCAAATTATGATATAGATTAGCATCTCTTGGCACCACAAAATAAGCCAGCTTCAGATTCAGAGGAAATGGGACTAAAATGAAATGAACAACTTGCAAGATTGACTAAGTCAATACAACATGAACCACGACATGGCTTTGTTTGCATCTTTTAGAGAGCGAGCTAGCGCTTTCAAGTAAATATATGTGGTATGTATAAGCCTCAAAACAACACGCCAGGATTTGCTCTCCCAGTGGTCGTAGACGGCTTTAAAGGTCTTTTTCTCTAAAGCAGCTTTGTGTCATGAGCCTACATCATATTTCGAATACCACATGCTTGGTGGGTACCAATTCTATAACCATCAAACATATTCAGTCAATCAAAAGTTATTGGAAAATCTAGAGTATACATAAATTTCCACATACCACTTAAACAGAAAAGACTCATATATATATATATATATATATTATACACCACTTAAACAGAAAGCGTACCCCTCTGCCAACTACCCGATACACGCCAAGAGAGAATAGTCGCTCGCGCCCACGTGTGTTGATGAA